TATATATATATATATATATGTATGTAGATATAGATAGAGCTATCGATATAGATATATATACATACATACTAGTAGTATTTACTGATACATACAGTGATATCAGAATAAAAACTAAGTATAAAGGGGCTTTTATAAATTGCCTGGAGTTCTGCTTTACGATTTCTTCCAGCCAAATGCATTGATCATGTTATGTCACAGCTCGGACTGCCGTACACTGACCTCACGGTGAATAGGAGGTTAGAACGCTTACTGAAACCTTGTCACCACTATTCATTGTATAGTCATTATATATAGACTTTATCGTGTGGTAATGCATATGTCTGTCTTTATCCTAAGGTCTATCAAGTCTCCAGCTTTTTAAAAAAAACTAAAATAACATATCTTGGTGGGTATTCACAATGCTTAAGCTGGCCCATTGTGTAAATTAACGCTTTCTTTCCTACTAAGCCAAAACTAATAGATCATTCAGACTTCATGTGCCACCAAGTCCACCTTTTTTTTCTGTATGTGTTATAAGTGGTCTGGGAGCTTGTCCTGCTTATGGAATGTGGCTCCCGTTCGTAAACATTTCTCCTATGTGATGTTTTGCATACATTGTTTCATTATTTGGTCCTTCATTCCAAGCACTTTAAGCTGTCTTTAATGGGATCTATTTTTTGCACTGGAATACCCATTAATGTTGCATTAATACCGACAGAAAAGAAAAAAAAAGGTTTTACAATATATTAGATTTTAAGTTTAATACTTCAGTTGAAATTTCCATGACTGAAAGAAAACTATTTGTATTGTTATTAAATGTTTAAGTATTAAAATATTTAGATATAAATATGTTAATTGCCTTGTATTAAGTCACAAAGTCAAATAAAACAAAGAAATTGTGACAATATCGGTTTCTTATTTTCTTCACATCATTTGTTAACGTGAGATACAATTGTTATAGAGATAAATAAAAGTGAAAAAGAAATATTAAAAAAAAGAAGAAGGAATTACCAACTCAGCAGACCCCAGATAATGATACAGTAATATTATTAAACATGTACCACCTTTGACCTGATGAAACTGGTTGGTTGCTAAAAGTCAACGAACGTTATAATTTTTACATTTTTGTTAAAGAATTGGACTTTTAACTTTAAGGTCAGATATACACCATTGCAGCGTATTGTTGCAGCCAGGAACCACAATGGACCTTTTAGTGTACAAGCATCTTTTTTTTTTCTTCTGGTGCATCACAAACCACAAATGGTTAACAGAGGGATTTTTCAAAATAAATGGCAGCACAGTTCATGGGTCACCATACGCTGCAGTAACCTCCAGTCAAATATGTGTTACCACAATCCAAAAGTGTGAATCCAGCCTAAAGCTTGCCGTATACCGATCTATTTTATTTGTTCAACCTGCGGGCTGAATGAAAAAAATAGACCCTATTCCTCAAACAACACAAACAGCATGTCGACCGAGGAATCGTGCTGTTTACATTGTATTCCGACAGGCCCCTGTCACAATACCTGACCAGAGTGGGCAGCTCATTGACTGCCAGCTTAATGGTTGGTAATGCTAGAGGTAATGAAGTAACTAATTATTCCAGTTTCCCACATAGAAAGGGCTAGCTCTAAAACATGTCAATGTCTTCCAAGAGACTTAACACTTATTTATTAAGGCCCAGATATATATCACAAACTACAGTGATGGAAATAAAGTTTTAAAAGCAAAATTGTTACTTTACATCATTACTCGAGGGTCAGCTTTCTCAGGGTCTGGCAAATGCTGGAGAATTAATGTGGGACTAAACTTGCCATAGGAATTTAGCCATTAGGTAGTTTCTGGTAGAAGCGACTTTATAGGATTCTAATATCAAAAAGCTTTTAGTTACCTGCTACCCAGTTTTTGTTAAATGTACACTGTACAATGTACAGTGTACAAACCCGTCCCATTCTTGGCATTTGTAAAATGCTAAGAATAGAGTTGGGATAATGTTACTCCAGCATGCATGCTTTGGAGTTGTAGCACCTATTGGGAAGCTGCTGGTGATCGAAGTACAAACCAAACCTGGAAAAAGTGGAAAAGAACATGGCAGTGGCAAAATGGCAGTGTGGAGCTTGCACCTGTCATTGCTGGAGGAGAGCACACAAACAGGCAATTGAGCCATACGGTACAAGTATGCTGTGCATGCAGGCAAATGCTGCCTAGCCATCCCTAGTTAGTTACGGTTTAAATCACCTACTCGATTCATATGGCACTTGATTAATGAGATGTCTGTGCTTGAGTTTTCAGACCTGCAGCTATGACTTAGGCCGAGTAAGGCAGAAACGCGTCAGCGGTGGTGCTTTGTACTGATGCATGTGGAATAAAGTTGAAATTCTTTGTAAGATTATCGTGTGCTGGTTTCACAGTTTTTGCGCCTATTACTCCAGAAGAGAGTCATCCGTGCACTGAATGTGAGCGTGTTTTCAGTTCATACCTGCACACCTGCCACAGACAGGAGTCCCACTCTGCTTGTGGAGTTTTTCACTTATTTCACAAAAAGAAAGACTCCAAGGTGAGTGGGAACAAAGTCAGGACTTATGGCAGAAAGATCCAACTTCTGTAGTGCAACTTCAGATATCACCTGTAATTGAATATTACTTTTAGGTGGACTGGGCATTTAAAAATTAGAGTTCCCAGCATATCCTATCCTGTTATACCATCAGTATTGTAATAGGAATACATACTAGAGTTGTTTTTCATAATGCAATCAAATCCCTTTAATATAGCGAGTGCTGTCTTCAGTCTGCCCATCACTTTCCACAATTTCCTGGATTCCCAGTGTGCTTTGCATCTTTTTCCCTGCTGCTTGATGTGATGCAATCTTGATTTCTCCAGATTATGACTGCTCCTGTTTTTATGAATTGCCCCATTGAGTTGTAGTTCAGAAGGCAGGCTCTGTAAGTGGTGACACAAGGAAGTGCATATTCACAGGGCTGAGAGAAATTGTGTCAGTGCACTGAGGAAGTACATCCAATAGGCATCTTTAGTAAGTACGTTTACAAACTTCTAGTTGGATGTGGTTATTAGGAGTGGTAAAGAAATTATGGAAATTCAATATAGAAATACATATTTATTATTAGTTTTTGACCATAGATACCCTTTAAAGTGCATCAGTTTAAAATCAATTGATACAAATAGGCAAAACACAAAACCATATGCAAATTTATTACAGACACTGATAGTTCAGTTAAACAAATGTTCATTTTTTAAGCTTCAAGCAACACTCAGATTTAAAGGTTCATATTGGTTTATTAAAAGCACATGGGGATTGACCTACCTATCAAAGGTTAATAGTTAACTTACATCATAAATAACTGCTGTTATTTTAATGGGGAAAATGATGCTGGCATCAGAAGTGCGTTTGTCTGTGAATCAAGATATCTCACGCTTTCTCTTACTGTGGAAGAAAAAAAGAAAAAAACAAACATAAAAGAACATAATTCCTTATTAAAAGAAATGTATCCTATTTCGGTTCTACAACCAGGGCCGGATTTCCCACAAGGCCAACCAAGGTCTGGCCTCGGGGCAGCAGGGGTGTGGAATTCCTATCTCCCGATGCCCAGGACATGCAGTTCCGGGTGCTGGGCGGGTAGTTTTCTACATTTAGCCCTGCTTTGGGAAAGCAGAGCTAAATGTACAGCGGAGAAGCCACCGGAATTAGGTGGGTAGGGGGGCACATTGAGGAACCTGGCCTTGGGGCCGCAATGAGAGTAAATCCGGCCCTGTCTACAACACACAGATATTCTTACATCGGTAGGTTAAAGTGAACCTATCCTTTGTCCATGCAAAGCACCAGGTTCACGCTACTGTTGTCCCCACCAGGTGCCCATTTTCATCATCCCCTTGTTCTCCTGTTCTGGTCAGTGGCTGGAGTGAAGACAGTAAGCCCTGGATAAATCTACCTACCTACATGTGACAGTGCTGGGTACCCGAGTGCCACTTAGAAAGCACCAGCACTTTCTAGTGAAAGTGCAGCGAGTCACATGCCATCCCACACGCAGTAGCAGATCATTTTTCTAGTTTCCAGCAGCCATTCTTATAATTAACCTATTGTTTTACCCTGCATAGAAAAGCAACGGTTCGCGGCTTTTCTTTTAATTTCTAAGGCCTATTCAGATCTATGTGATGCAATAACACGTGGTAAAATGTGATTTACTGCAAATGCATGTACCGCAGTTTGTTGCAGTGCCATGCATTCTGAATACCACCCCAAAACACTATTACAATACACCCCCAACAAACTTGCACTGCAGCACACTACAAGGTACGGTAACACACCACTGCGTGTTGTGCTGCACCGTGTCTGCACCGAAAAAACAGTCCATGTCCCACTTTCACTGCATTGTGGTGCATTGCAAATGGGCTGCCTTAAAGTGAAACGAAACTCAAATCTTGAAAATGCATTTAAGTACCTTATCTATTAACAAAAATATCTTATTTATGTATTATTGAGCTGTAGATCCTCAGATCATCTCCGAATTGGTGCTGACACTATCCTTCCTTCTGGAGGGTGGCTACTTTAGCCAGGGTAGCCACCGCTCCAAGCTCACTCCTGTGATGGACTACAATCTTATGTTTAGTTTACTAGTTTGTATTGAGATTGTATTCCATCAAAAAAGTGAGCTTGGAGCGGTGGTTACTTTACAACACACACACACACACACGCACACACACACACACACGCACACACACACACACACGCACACACACACACACACGCACACACACACACACACTATATCAGTCACGGTAACAATAGTGAAAGAGAGAAAGGTGTTAAAAAGTGGACTTTGCAGTAAAGTTTCTGGGCACCCTCTCTCTTTATGAATCATATACTGTTGGTAGATGTAAAATGTACCTGAAAAAAAAATTATAAAAATTATACTTGCCTTTCTCCCATATTCCACACTGCTGGGCATTACATCACCATCCTTCCAGCGCTGACCTAATCTCGTGAGAACACTCTAGTCTATTGCAAGAGCGTATCCTCCTGAGATTTCAGCTGCTCTGTATACCCCAAGATCCAGGACCACAACTTAATTTTACAGGTACATTTTACACTTACTAATAGTTGATTTGTGAAGGCGGAGGGGCCTGGCCCTGACAGTGTACACAGAACTTGCATTTTACTGCTTTAAAAGGAGAACTATGAGGCGAGTGCTTTTCACTCATCTCATAGTTCTAGCCGACCTGTGACAATGAGACTGTCACAGGTCGGCTCAGTAGATTGGGAGGTGAGCGAACACATACCGGTGTTTGCTCACTTCTCGATCCTGTCACGGCTCTCTGCCGTGACAGGGGGAGGGGCTGGATTCCCCTCTCCCGCTCCGATCTGCCAGCGCTGACTGGCGGAACGGACGGGGGAGGGGACGGGTACAGCTGGCTTTGCCTCTAGATAGGCAGAGCCAGCTGTCACTCATGCAGCTGGGTGGATCCAGACAGCATTGTCGGGATCCGCTCCGGCATCTCAGTATACCGTGAGCTACAGCTCGCGGTATACTGAGCTTAGGGTAACGGGAGGACGCTAGTTTGTGTCCTCCAGTTACCCTAAGGAGAACTATGGGGAAAAACACTGACCCCCATAGTTCTCCTTTAATACAAGATTTAGTGAAGTTTTTTTGCAAGTTTGCTGAAGCTAAATATAACAAACTATTGCTACACACTCAGGAGCGCAACTAGAAAATCACAGGGCCCCCTCCAAACTGACCCCCTCCCTCCACCTGGGAGCGACCCTGCATAGCCCACCTGAGACCCCACACAGCCCACGTGAGTGACCCTGCAGAGCCCACCATAGACTCAAGTATTGTTTTGATGTGAGCTCCCTATAAGCCCTTTAAAGCACCCTTCTGCTTTCTGGGAATGAATATAGATCATAATGGAAGTGCTGGCTTTTGCTTTAAAGTTCAACTACAAGTAAATGACAGTTGCAGTGGGGCTACCTGCACTGCAAAGGTTAAATGCTCATTTTTTTTTCCTCATAAGGTAAATATTACTGCTTTTCCTGTACCCACTAGACAAAATTAAAAAAAGAAGAATATTTAACCTTTGCAGTGCTGAAGGAACCCACTGCAAGGGCCAAGTTTTATTTTTACCAGAGTCTTAAATAAGATTTTAGTAGGGATAAGCAGGCTTTAGAAATTTGCAAGCAGTGTTCAGATGAGCCCTTAATTGGCTTTAGTTTCAAGTTGTAAATTAGATGAATGTGTGCACAGGCCCTTAACCCCTTCACGACCCATGACGGGATAACCCCATCATGAAGTCTGAAGGGGTTAAACAGACTAAAAGGGGTTAAACGGCAGCTAGTCTGTTCAGTTTCAGTTTTGTAGAGCCAGTGGCCGGATTTACAGTAGAAGCGATTCTTGGGTCTCAGCTGCCGCCAGATCGGTAACCGGGCCATCCCCCGAAGCCCGACCACCACTGTGTTTCCTGGGCTCCGCTGCCCCTCCAACGGGCCCAGGACCTTCTTGTTGGGTGTTGGCGGAAGCTGGGGAGGAGATAGTTGAACGTCCGTTCACCGCTTTCCTCCCCCTTCCATGGGACCGGGAGTGACGCGTATTGCTCACTTAGCTGTCTGCGCTTCAATAGCTTATTTAAAGTGTAAAGGTGACACTGGGGGTCTTTTGGACCCTAAGTATCACCTTAAAGAAGACCTGTCACTATGTGATAGCAATTAAAGTTAAAAAACGTTTTAAAAATAGTATTAAATAAAAATTAAATTGAAATGATTCATTTTTACTTTAAGTCCCCCGTGAGCACGAGCATCGTCACGTAAACACGCGTCGTGTGCGCCTAGGTACAAAAACAACAATTGCGCTACACATGTTGGGTATCGCCGCACATGCCAGACTAAGAGCAATAATTCTAGGGACAATATTTACACGTATCACTAAACTGATGATCTGTGGGAGCTTTTAAAGCGTCGTCTATAGACTTTGATAATAGGTTGTGCTAATGTTGTGCAACATAAAAATTTGCAACTGCCACCATTTTATTCTATAGGGTTTTGGCTTTCAGAAAATATATAATGTTTGGGGGTTTTAAGTAATTTTCAGGCCTAAAATGGGGATTATAACATGGGTGCAGAAAATGAAGAGAAAAAAAAAAGCGTCATGAAGGGGTTAAAGGCTACAAGAAAGGAGTAGAGTACAATTTCACATTTGTGCCAGGATCACACAGCATGGCTTGACTCACTTCTGAATTCTGTGCTCTGCAAGTGTTTTGTGAAAGTTGATTTTCAGCTGGCTGGGGGAATACAGTGGCACCTCGGTTCATGAACTTAATTCGTTCCATGATTCTGGTCACGAACGGAAATCACATTTCTCGATAAGATTCAATGTAAATAAGGTTAATCCATTCTGAACCATATGTAAATTCATTACCACTCTGCACTTTCTTTTTACCACCATGCTTGCTCGGCAATTTCTTTAGAGCCATGCTGGATTGAAAAATACTGCACAGGACTGTATGTGCTAATAAGCACACTAGTGTGCACAGGTCTATCTGCGACCACAATCTCGACTAGAGGAAGCCATGACCACGCGTCAGAGGGGGGAAGATGGCCGCGGTCGTGTTAGTCACCGATTTGGAGTTCGCGAACAGATGTAAAATTTTGCTGAACTTCCTGTTTGCGAACAGAAGCGTTCGTGAACCGAGGCATTACTATGTCGTATATCTCTGATCTGTTTAGAGTTTATTGGTCATCCTATGTTTATTTGTTCTGTCTTTTGGTTATCAGGATGCTTTGTAAAAACTTTCTCTTGCTTAAAGTGGTAACTCTGTCATGCTGATTAGTATTGCTTCTGACCTGAAGAAGAGAGGTTAACTCTCAAAAGCTTGTCTTTTAAATATTATGTTAGTCCAATAAGAAAGGTATCATCACATACTACAATACTCCGTTTTTGTTTGTTTTTTTTACATCTTGTCTACTGGACTAATTACCCATTTACATTATACATACAGTGTATACATACATTTACACACAAAATAATTATTTTACCTGCAGCAACCACCCTGGCATCCTCATGAGCCAAATGCCTCCCTGCAGCTCGACTGTCAGGATTCTCATTCCACCATAGAGCATGGACTGTGCAAACATAAGAATGAACAAAATAAATAATATACACAGTAGAGTTGGAAAAATATAGATGAAAAAAAAAAAAAAAATTATGTTGCTCTGTAATTGTAATGTTCATCCAGAATTACCTTGGTTGAGTAATCCATATTCTGTGTTGAAAACGCCAACAAGTTTTGTGTATCCAGTGTTGACATGAGTGGAGGTGGCAGCTCTAAATGCCTCGCCCCAGACTGCTGGTCCACCGGGCTTAAACTTATAAGAGACCAATTCATAAACACCTGGCAAAGAGAACATATGTTAAGATGATAAAAAGCATGGTATTATTACCCTACAGATTCACTTCTATTTGCCAAACCTTTGTCATTTGCATACACGGTCATAACATTTTCTGGGTACAGCTTGTTTTATTAAAAGGGACACCGTCACATTTTGTAGCAAGGTACCAGTGTTATGGAAAGCCCCTACCTGCCCCAAGGGAAGAACATGATAACAGGACACAAGGAAGCTAATTGCTGCATACGTTTTGGACATCATTTCTTACAGCCAGACCACTTTGATTGTCATAGGGAACTTCTATACCATCCAGTAAATGAAAACTTTTGCGGATAGCATGTGCAGGACAGGAGTGCAGAGAGAATGACATAGGACAGTAACTGCAGGAGAAGAGTGCGGAGGGCATGATGGGGGGGCAATATGTGCAGGAGAGGGGTACAGATTGTATGCATAATACATGACATATGGCAGTATGTGCAAGACAGAAGTGTGGTAGGTGTGACGACACGGTGATCAGTTTATAAGTTAAATGTGTATTGGTGTTGAGTTGTGTTTGAGTGCGTTATGCTGTGTGACCTGGTTATGGAAAGACTATCAGCACCATCCCTCGTTATCTCCCATTGTTCTCTGAGGGAGCTCAGAACAATGACATTCTGGCCAGGCTCCTGCTATGGCTGTCTGGAGTTCGTTAGCAGGTGGACACCTGTGGTGTTGAGCAGACCGATGGTCTGGGAGGGGAGGGGGGATGTGATGGGATTATATTCTGATTTCATCACTTGCTGTATATAAGTTTGTGCAGTTGCTCAATAAATCAGAGTATGTTTCACCTACACTAAAGCCTTGGCTAGTGACTGGGGAAACTGGGAGCTAAGGATCTTCAGGTTGCAAGATCTCCTCAGCAAGGAAGAAGACAGCGGCGGACATACTCATCCTGAGTACGGGGGTCCGTCACAGTAGGCATAACAGTGGGCATTATGTGCAGGATAGTGGAGTGTAGAGTATGATGGGGTCAATATGTGTAGGAGACAAGTGCAGAGGGTATGACAACAGGCAGAGTTTTCAGGCAGAGGAGGCTATAACACGGTTGGCATAATGAAGTGCAGAGGGTATGACAACAGGCAGAGTTTTCAGGCAGAGGAGGGTATAACACGGTTGGCATAATGTGCAAGAGGGAAGTGTGAAAGGCATGACAACATGAAGAGGAGTGTAGAAGGTATGGTAGCAGGTAGTATATGTATGAGATGAGTGTGGATGGCAAGATGGCAGGCAGTTTGTGCAAGAAAGGTAAGCGAAGAGTATGACAGTGGGCAGAAGATGAGTGAAGTGAAGTGTGGAATGTGAAGTGTGGAATCTACAGAATGCGTTTGGCACCCTTTCCCAAAACCGAGTAAATATAAAGTAGCAGCATGGGTGCTGATCTCTTCACACACAGTTTTACAGATGAGGAACAGAGGTCAAAATTAGTGTTCAGAAACTGGTCTAGGAACAGCGGAGGTGATGGGGGATATGGAGCAGGGCTTTGTTGCCAGGAATGTTTAATTAGCAAATGGGGCAGTGCAGTTGAGATTACTATTGGACTAGGGGCAGTGGGGATTTAACTGATATTTGGCATCGTGCATAAATGTGAGCGATTATTACACAGGCACTGGAGACTGTGTGCTGAGGGGTTAACAAACACATGCTGGGCACTGAGAGGTTAGTACACATGGGCTGTGCAGAATCTATGGTGTGCTCTGCAGGGTCACTATCAGGTGGGCTGTGCAGGGTCACTATCAGGTGGGCTCTGTGGGGCATCAGGTGGGTCCCACGTCCAGTGCGTTACTTAGTCCAGAGGCCAGTGCGTTACTTAGTCCAGAGCCCAATACATATACTGTCTCTCATTGCTGTATAATGTATTGCTGGGATTTGTAGTTCCCCTACAGCCGATGCTATTCTGCATTAGAGTGTAAGCTCCTCTGTACAGAAACTAATGTGACTGGCTCAGTGTTATCTGTACAGCCCTGTGGTATATGTTAGAGCTATATAAATGTATAATAATAGTGTGAGACTGTGGGGGGACCACAAGTACCAGCATGCCATTGACAGCTGGGGGGGGGAGGGGGCCTAACCATGTAGGCTGTATGGGGCCCCATGATTTCTAATGGCGGCCCTGATCTTATATACTGTATTAATTTGCTTCTATCTATTTATTAGATAGGGAGAGGACATCTAGTGGTCATATAGGCATACAACAGCTCTAATTAGTTGTAATGAAAGGGAATATAAAAGAAGTGTAGTACGTCGGCATGTGCACCACACCTGAAGAAGTTAATGATAAAACGCGTTGAATAGGCAGGCGCATGCTAACGGCACTACATACTTCTAGGAGCAGTGGTCAGGTACAGATGAGTTGAGCACTGCTGAAGGGGAGCGATATTGTGAAGAGTCTTTGCCGGTTTTCTATACAGGTGAGTGTTTTTAATCTATTTTAAATAAAAGTGTTTGGATGGTATTATGCTATGGGAGTTTTCTTTTGATATATCAGATTGTGGAGTTATTGATGAGCAGTGACTTAAAGAGAACTATGAGGCGAGTGCTTTTCACTCACCTCATAGTTCTAGCCGACCTGTGACAATGAGACTGTCACAGGTCGGCTCAATAGATCGGGAGGTGAGCGAACATATACCGGCGTTTGCTCACCTCTCGATCCTGTCACGGCTCTCTGCCGTGACAGAGGAGGGGCTGGATCCCCCCCTCCCGCTCCGATCCGCCAGCGCTGACTGGCGGAACGGACGGGGGAGGGGCGGGTACAGCTGGCTCTGGCTCTAGATAGGCAGAGCCAGCTGTCACTCACGCAGCTGGGCGGATCTCGACATCGATGTCAGGATCCGCTCCGGCGTCTCAGTATGCTGAGCTTAGGGTAACGGGAGGACGCTAGTTTGTGTCCTCCCGTTACCCTAAGGAGAACTATGGGGAAAAGCACTGACCGAATAGTTCTCCTTTAAGCTGCAGAAAGGTGGAGGAACCTGACTGTTGAATCAGCTGCCGGTGATTACAAAGCGTTTTATGACTGCTTGAATAGAGTAGTCATGTAACGTTTATGGTATTTATGTTTTATGATAAACATTTATTATTGATCATATGAACACTTTTTCACATTTCTGAACACTTTTCATTTTATTATATCTGTTTGGAAATCACTTATAAGGTTAAAGGTTAGTTTGTTGTGATTTTATAGTTTATATATGAATTGGTGGTTTATTTATTAAGCGCAGAGCAATATCTTGATATAATGAGGGATAATTACATGTCCTGGGGACTGAGAGAGGACAAAATAATGCTAATAACAGGAGGACTGGGTATTAAGGGGTTGGAGAGATTATATATATATGTGAGGAATGGGCACTGGGGGTTAATGCTTAAATTCTGGGGATTGGTCACTAAGGGCTTAATGCACATACACTGCACTGCATACTCATAAGTGAGGATTAATGCACATGCTCTTGAAGCAGATCACTTAGGGGAAAATGCACATACACTGCAGAGAGGTCACTGAGGGGTTAATGCTCATAAGTGGTGGAGGATAGGTGACTTAAGGGTTTATGCTAATTCTGTGGGGGCTGATCATGAGAGGGTTAATACTTGGCAGTCAGGTCATTTATGGGTTCATTCACATTCTCTGCTATTGTGTAAACTGGCCAAAAAGCTTTGTGTACTGGATGGGTCATCTCTCTGCTTGGATTGATATCTCACAGGAGAAAGACCCGTCTGTGTGCTGGAGTTGGGATCTTACTGGGGAAGATCTCATTTGCATTTTATTATATAGGATATGATTTTTGCAGTCACTGTAAAATCCTTTTCCTGGAGTCCATTAAGGGAAACTAGAATTCAGATGCAATATGGTTATACTGGTCCTCCTACAGGAGGACTGGACACTGGCACACGGAAAAATGATATAACCCTCCTCTACCCAGCCTGTTTTATGCTAATGGATGATGGAGGTCTTTTCTACAGCCCTACTACCACATTTTGGTCAGGCACTGAAGTAAAATAAGAGAGAAGGGTGGGATTCCTCCAACCTCTGCCAAGACTATCTGTGTTGAGGCAGGAGCAATCTCTGGCCTCCGTGTCATCCCTAATCATGGTTTTCATTGTAGAGCTGAAGAGACAACATCCTTCAAAAGTCAAGCGAGTCAGATGGTCTTCGGATGTGGCATCAGCATCCCAGCAGTGCAACCAGAGTGCTCTGTGCATCTGGACACTAGATTAATACCAAACATAAGCTTAGATGCTTGTAACAAGCCATCACAACTGAAGTGCATGGCTCAAAGTATTTGTGCAATTAAAAAGGGGTCTATCCCAGTAGTAAAATGATCATTTTTGAAAGATGTGACCCAATCTGCCATGGTTTGACAGATTAAATTCACCACCAATGCAGGACAGAGAGCAGAACCAGCAAGTTAAAAATGGAACTCAAGGAGGAATTCTAGCTGCAAAGTCAAAAGAATCATTAAAAGGAGCCCACAAACCGTATACCCATTCCTTATAATTAGAACCCCGTAAGACACTGCAGCTGTCACATCAGCTCTATAGATCAAGAACCGAGCTATCATATACTACTGACCGCTCGGTTCCCGATCTTCTCCCTGTGGGGAGCGGTGACTACCAGTCACCGCTCCCCGCAGGGATTCCCCCCCTCCTCTCTCCATTCCTACAGTGCTGACTGGAGGCACAGATAGGAGCGGGGGCTGGCAGAGCCAGCTGTCAATCAGGGGGAAAATATCGGTGCACAATTTTGTCGGGATCTTTTCCGGCCACAGCGCGGCTTTGCGCTGTAAGCATATAGCGGGCAATAGATCGCTATATGCTGAGTTTTGGGTCACAGAAGGACATAGTACATGTCCTCTTGTGTCCCTAAAGAGAACTGCGGCCAAAGTAGTTTAGGTCATAGTTATCTTTTAAAAGGTAAGCATGCCTACTACCTGTCTAGTAATTTTTATGTTAAGGTTGGTCCCAGTTCACAGTGGGAACCACTGTTTAACAAATGCCCTCTCAATGGGAAACAGTTGCAGCACACGCTCAGGTGGGGCCCAGGAAGCTTCAGGGTGCTTTCAGTCCGCATCAAGGAATACCTTGAATAGTCGGTGTTGTGGAAAGAGCTTTGCATCTATAGGAGCTTTGAAAGACTCAAGGCTGAAGATATCAGGCTGATCCTCTGAATGCAGAGTACTATGAACTGCATCAATAAGGTTTAAAACAACAACTGTGATGCCTCAAGGACAGTCTCTTCAGAGACAGACGATAGAGATTCTGCAGCCCAGCCTCTTTGAAGGCCTCAGGTCAGTCAAAGATAGGGGATGGTGCTGAAGCATGCTTAGAGATCTGCAGCCAGATTTGGTAAATTATTTTGTAAATGTGGTCAAAAAGTGGATGTGAAGATCCCTGGCGAAAAACAGGGGACTCCAATGATGTGGACCCCTATAAGGATAGGGTCACTAGACTCTCGATTGTGGGCACTGGTTTCCTCAGGAGGATTCTGGGTAGATGCCCCCAGAACTCACAGGACAGCATGGGCTAGGGTCACTCTTAAGTCAGACTTAGGAAAAGCAGAGCTGCATTGCTCCTGTAAAGAGGCCATTTCCAGAAGCTCTGAATTGAGGAATCTTGATTTGAGTGGATGAAAAAAACAATCCAAGGGAAAGAAAAAAAAAAAAAAGGCTGGCAAAAGCGTGGTAAACTTTTCTCAGCAGAGAAGCAGAAACGATATCCATTCTCCAAAGACATTAGCAAAAAGCTGAGGCGGGCTGGGTAGAGGAGGGGTTATACATGGGACCGGCTTACAATTTTTCTGTTTGACAGTGTCCGATATTCCTATAGGTGGCAGTGTAACCCTACTATCTGGATTCCAGTGTCCCTTCAATGGAAGAGTAAGAAAGGATGATTTTACATTTGGTGTTACTTTTCACAGCTTGTCAGCTTAATTGCAGGGTTTATCTTAGCATTTTGAAAAAAGTATAACCAAACAGGCAATGCTAAGGTGGCCTAAAAGGCATCAGAAATTCTTCCCTAGAACCAGATGGTATCTACATGTCTCACTTTCATCACAAATCCCAAAAACAATTATTCCTCATTTTAGCATAGTGGACAGAGCTAAGCCTTTGTGTGGAAAAATTGAGCAAATTTCCAGAAAGCTTGTCCTGAAAAATGTTACTGCAAAAAAACAAAAAAAGGATGGAAATAAACTGTGTTGTTTCATGTTCACCAATATGGCAATAATCACATACAGTCGTGCCAATACATTTGTCTTGAAAATCCTCTTTATGACCAGCTTAAAGCAGACTTTTACACAAAAAAATCAAATTCTACCAATGTATCCTTCTATTTATGATGATGTCAGGTGCTAAATGCTGTCATTTTGATGTACTTACACTTGCAGGGCATTCAATTCTTGCTGAAAGAGCAAAAATGATGTCAGTGTGCCAAAGCGATACACTCTGGGATTGCCTTGTCACTGAAATGACATCTCGTTCATGAAAAGAAAAAGAAAATGGCCACGAGATCTCGTGAGATTTCGATCTCGCAATCATGTTCTTTTTTTTTTTTCTTTGTCATGTTATATGAGATGCGCATGTGCTAGAGTAGTCAATACAAAGTGTGTCCCATCGCACTCCCGACCGGAATGGAACCCCAAGGTAGGGTGGGTGGTGCAGTGACAGCAGATGCCTCTGTAAGTTACGTAATCATGGACAGTCAGTTGCACTGTGCTAGAGTATTGGTGCATCATCAGAAGGGGGTGTGGCTGTGGAACCGAGTGAAGCTGTGCAGGCACAGGAATTACGCTGGACGACGGCAGACGAAATCCAGGAAAGAGGAGCATTTGCCCTCTTCAAACATGGTCGCTCGCTACATTCCAGGACCAAAATTGAAACTTAAAAAAAAGAAGTCTTTAAACAAAAATATAGCGTTTTAAATGTGTTCATTTGGGTTATTGCATACTAAATGCATATGGGAATGTTTTTTTAGAGATGTCATATAAAGGTCCGCTTTAATACATAGCCATATAAAGTAGTTTATACAAATGTGGTAGTTGTACATATATGCATATTCCCTTAAACTTGAACCACTACAAGCAAGGTCTGCTGTTTTACTTTGGCCTCCCACCCATGCCAAGTGTTCTCGGGGTCCTTCTAAAGAAATTTACATGCTTGAGGATATGTGCCCCTGATTCAGCCAATTAGACTGATACTAGTATCACACATTCTAAGCAGCACTCACCTTCCTTATCAGGCTTCTGCAGTTTACACCATGGTACCAAGTAAGTAACCTCAATGTCCATCTTGTCTATCATGGGTAATACTTTGGATATGAATTTCTCCTGCCACGCTTTGTCTTCCGGTAGCTTGGACCGTACTGCTGTCCGATGTGCAAAGCTGTCTACAGAAAAAACAAGTATACTCAACAAGAGAAAACAAAATTATAACAAAGCCTAAAACATCAAAATGGCTGTTCAAGTGAACCAGTAATGACTCAAATATGGAAAGTGCTACTACCAACTTTACTGGGTTTCAAAGGAGCAAGCTTTAGGGCTGTCTTTCTGATTCCTACTTCCTTACCTTGAGACAATACCTTACAATGATCTGGAAAAAAAACATGCAGCCAGAGAGGTGTGAAAGGTTGGAACTCTGATTCTGCCTCTGCATTACAGTCCTGGTGACCTGCTAGGTAATGAATCCAAAGGGAGGATGACAGTCCAGGAGTGTGCGGTTACTAAAATACAAGTCACCAATCGCAGCTGTCATGTGGTAGTAGTTCTGTATAAGACAGGTTCTCTGTGAGTCACAATACAATACAATACCTTTATTTACATCCAATACACATATCCCTCCATAGGTTATAGTTTGTAACCACTCATAACTCTGCAGAGTATACCATTTATCCAGCACTGACTAAAAAAGGGAATATGGAGGTCACAGAGTTCTTTGCCCTAAATGTATACCCTGCAAATGGTATCTGAATCAACATCCAGCTCCAGCACCACTTCAGATACAACCGTTCTGACCAACGTTAAACATAGTCTGCTTGAAGAGTCAGTCTTATCAAAACTCAGTTTTTGGGAATTGCTGGGAGGTAAACTAACGGACAGCTTATATTTCTCTACTGTTTAAATATCTGCATTCTGGTTCCTGGGTCCTCACATCAAGCTATTAAGAGGAGGTTCGCTCCCTGCTGAATCTATTTTATAATATGGAGAATGGAACAGGAATTTGCAAACAAAAAGGCGGATGGGTCGCCAAACTTTCCAGGTGGACAGGAATTAGGACAGGGGGATCCCACTGTAAGGCTGGATTGACACCTATGTGTTGTCATTACAATGTGTTTTAATGCGTGCTGCAATGCGATGTACATTTTTACACGTATTAATACATGTCAAAGTGCTTTACAATGCACGCGGACACCTTTGCACGCACGGTCACTTATTTCAACAAGCCCCTGATCATGCGTTGACTTAGCTTTGATCAGGTCCTCAGAGTATCAAAAAGGTATAAAAATGTAAGGGCCAACTCAGCCACCCAGGATGCACCTACAGCTGCACATCACTTTTGGGTGAACTGACACTTATGTCATTTCTAGGTTACAGATTTACTGTTTAGGTTCAAGTTGTCAGAGAGGCAATTTATAGAAAACAGCTTTGGGCTGAAGGAAGGATTACACTCAGCCTGCTAATCCATTCAGTAAACTTCATCAGTAAAAAGGCATCAAATCTGCAAACACTTTAGAATACTACTCATGACTCCATTATAGAAGTTGTTGTAGCTGGATGTTGCTTCAGATACCATTTGCAGGGTGTACACTTTCGGCAAAGAACTCTGTGATCTCCATATTCCTTTATATACAGTGCTGGATAAATGGTATACTCTGTTGTATAGAAATGGAGACAAGGAAGTGAACTCTGCATTGCAAGGTGTTCTTTCGCTTTTTGCTCTGGCCATACTAACACATTTTAGATGCTTTCTAAGCTACAGAAAGTGGAAAGTGACGTAGAATAGAAGCCTTTAGTCATTAATATTAGTGCAGTGGAAACAGCAACTCCATGCTGGAGAATAGATGTGATGGTGAACTGGGTCAGAGTTTGCGCTGCACACAATCCTCTGCTAGGTATAACTCCAATAACTGGAGATATAAGAGAGGAAACCTCCCGCAAAACCAACAAGTCAAATATATACGGTAGTTCCAAAGGAAATTCCCCACATTTTTGTTATAAATCTTTTAATATCTGAATATTGTTAAAGATAATAAAATGAAAATACAACCTCTCACATTATACTTGCACATAAAGTTTAAAATGTATAAAACACTCCTTTATTTTAATCTAAAACTGAATAGTATCAAACAGACACACTGGGGTTGATTTGCTAAGGCAAATATGCTATTTACATTTCAAGGAATTTTCCCTCAGCTTAGTGAATGAGGCGAAGCTCTGCTGACTTCCAATCATGTGCAAGCAAATATACAGTTCTTTTCCTCCTTACATGCGATTGGGTATTCTTGGAAAAGTGAATTTTCACCACATTTAGAAAGCCAAGAGGAAATTACCTTTCAAGGTGCCTTTAGTAAATGGAACCCACTGAGTGCATTAAAATCATTTACAGGGTTATTCACAAAAGGATGAAGAGATTGGAGAAGTCAGGAAAAGTGAACAATCTAGCAGGGTCTAGCAGTCAGGCGGAACAGAGGAACAAGTGAGTATATCTTTGTTATTTTAGACTCTAGGCCAAAACAAGCACTATAGCCTTGCAGAGCAGGGATAGTCCCCTGCAAGGGGACAAGTTTTCTTCTGCACAGAGTTCTTCCTTAAAGCTCACTTCCCTTTCCCTTGGCAATCTAGTGCCCTGCCATACTTGGGTATCAAGCGTTCCTCTGACAGTTCCACAATCTACAAAGTGAATTACACCCTTCCTTTTACTAAATTGGTAGTAGAAATGGAAATTTGGTCTAGCTACTCCCTCTCGTGGAATAGCCACAATAAAAATGGCCTTGTAACAGAAAATGTTATATTGTTTCAGAACCCTTACCCATTAACCACTTGAAGACCAGGTGTTTACACCCCTTCCTGTCCAGGCCATTTTTCAGTTTTCAGTGCTGCGGTACTTTGACTGACATTTATTCCGTCATGCAACGCTGTACTGAAATGAATTTTATACCATTTTTTGGGGACAGATAGAGCTTTCGTTTGGTGGTATTTAATCACCACTGGGGGGGGTTTTAATTTTTTTTTACTATATTTTAGAAAATTTACTGAAAATGTTGAAAAAAAAAAGTTTTTTTTTACATGTTAGGAAACAATTATTACCCATTGTTTTGTAAAATATAAAAGTCGGGGTAACGTCGGGTAAATAGACACCAAACACTATAATGCTTAAAAATTGCGCACACCCGCGAAATCTCAAAAAACTACCATACCCAAAATTGACCATAGGCGACGCTTTAAAAGCTTTTACCGCTCATATCGTTTAGTGATATCAGTGATTGATAACCCTAGAATTATTGCTCTCACTGCGACGTTCGCGGCGATATGCAACATGTGCGGCGTAATGGGAGCAATTGTAGTTTTCGCAGGTATGCGTGACCCGGACGCATGTTTGCATGCAGGAATGTATGGGTGGGTGCTTAAAAAAAAAGTTATTTTTTATGTGTAACTTAAAAATGTTTTTTGGGAAACTTACATTTTTGTTCCTATTTTCTTTTCATCACTTAACTTTATTGCTATCACATAGGGGGCTATGATAGCAAAAGATGTGACAGGTCCTCTTTATGGAGACATCAGGGGTCTCCAAGACCCCTAATGTCACCTAGGACCCCCCGAAGAAGCTGATGAAGCACAGATCTGCTTCATCAGCTTCTCTCCAGCGTCTGAAGCTGGAGAGTGACACAAGAATGCGGAAGTGATGTAATATACATTACTTCCGCATTCTGGCAGCGGAGAGGGGACCGGAGGGAGATCGTGTACCGATCTCTCTCTGATCCCCTGTGACAGAGGCACTATGTTGGTCCCGGGCTCGCACCGGGCACAGCGGAGCCCGGGACCAGCATGACAACGGGAGGGGGGACACAAGCCGGCAGCTCATACAAGCGATCCGCTGGCTCTATAGAAGGCGGATCGCTTGTATGTTAACAGGCATCGGTGCCTGTTTTTAAATTGACAGTGTTTCCCACTTGTTTAAAGACGCCCGCTCAGATCTAAAGAGTTGCCGGCCGTTGTAAAAAAAAAATAGTTAATGTCCCTTCATCAGACCTGAAACAATTCCAATCTTGTATTATAAAATGCATTTGTGGTTCTAGGGGATGTAGGTTCTCATGCAAAACACTGTATACCCTCACATCTTTATAAGGATGGAGGGTCCCGAACCTCCTAAATTACTATAGGGCAGCTCAATGAACACAAACCCATTCCAATACTTATAAGCCTGATTGGAGAACCATCAAGTCTATAGCAGGAGCTCCTTATCACACTAACCTTTTAATGTGCGTCTAAACATAGAAGGGCAATCTTGTGTCCCACGCTCTCACACTCACTACATCTATGGGACATTTCCTGCAAGTTGTATGCTCTTAAATCTCCACACACCCCTTTGACCCCAACAGAATAATTGGTGACACTATCATGACAATAAGGGAATCCTAACTTTCACCAAAATCTTCAGTCGCAAATCTTCTGTATGCATCAAATTATACATTTCTCAAACACCATCAAAAAAGTACTGTGCGTTACCATAAAATGGATCATTTTTGAAAACAGATACATTAAATTTTAATCATTACCAGCACATTATATATATATATATATATATATATATACACACACACATACACATATATACATACATACATACATACACAGCAGGGGTGTGGAATTCGTATCGCCGGGCAAGTGGTGTTATC